TCACCTACATAAAACCCACAACTGAAGTATAACCTGCGGGAGGATTTTTTGCAGGTGCCTGTCAGCAGAGGAGACGTTACACAGGCTCTGCTCCAGTTTCTTGTTCCCTGGTACTGATTTATTCCCTGGCATGCTGCAGCAAGCTGTTTTGAAGCATATCTGAAAATTATGTGAGGTTGCAGACAAGTATTTTATCCCTCCAGTAATGCTTACTTTTGGTGCTATTGACAGTCGCACCAAAGGCTCATGCAGACAAAATAAAGCACTTTTTTCCTCCTTCCAGTTAGATAAGTCATTCCTGCAGAGTCTCTTGTTATTTAAAAAAATCTGCTTACAATACTGTGCTTGTTCAGGGTGTAGTGAACAACAAATAACTGCAATTCCTGTGCACATATTTTTCTTCTTGCTTGCCTCTGTGCTGCCCTTGCCACCATTATCCCTGCTGAATGTTTAACAATATAATGCCCAGAGCACTGTGCAAAAGTGAAGACAGGTTTCTTTGTAATGCCACCATTTTTCCTCCCCTGTCATGGAGCATCGCTGTTGCTGAGGGGAGCTCTCCACTAGCATGGTCTTCTTTCATCTGCTGCTGCAGGCATCACATGTAGCCATAACTACAGGAACAGTCTCAAGAGTAAGACATGGCAACTCCCCTTAGATACCAGCAAGCCTCGTTATACATGCAGAGGAGCACATGGTAGTCTCTCTCCTGAGGAGCTTTGAGTCAAGTGGCTGAGGGCAGGTTTCATGATGTGGTCACTTGAAACCAAACCAGTTACCTCAGCCTTTACAGCACTGTGTGAAGGGGCAAGCATGTCTTCATGTCCCACTTGTCCCTTCTTCAAGTGCCACTCTATCCCAGAAGCTGGGAACGCGGATGCTATTTACCATCAACTGCTTGTGCTGGATTAGTAAAAAGCACAGCAAGCTCCTTATTCCTTTGCCACGGTGGCCATGGAGAGCCACAGTCGGGGATGATGAAGAGGTGGTGTGTAAATGTGATTGCATCAGTGCAGCACTTCCCAGCTCCGGCAGGATCCCACCATCTGTGTGTATGCCTGTTGGTAGTGAGGACCCAAGCAGTGGGTCTGTAGAACAAGGCGTTCAGTGCTGAGGAGGTGGTGTCTGCATTATACACATTTCTGGGCTTTTTGTTACCACTGGCTACTTCCAGTCTCATTGCTTGGAGCGAAGAGCCACTGATACTTACCTGGTCTGACCCTGCTCTGACCTAAAATACAGAGGTACTCTCACATGAACATGGCCTCTAGGCTAGACCACATAGATGTAACCTAAGTTTTCCAAAAAAGTTTATCCATGGCCAGGCCCTCCTTTCCTTCAGGATCCTTCTGTTAATAAAGCAGCTAATAGTTCTCTGTCTCTCAGTGGTACGCAAGAGGTTGATTGTACAGCTCTTGGAGAGTTAAAAAGCACTGTGGAGTATGTGCTAAATATGATTAGTATTTTATAGCTAAATGTATTACATTTTTTTTGTTTATTAATGATGTTAATCAATATTAACCTGCTGTCCACTAGGGTATTATTATAACATCAGAATGCACAACCGATTGCCTCCATCAGTACTTAAAATGTGATTATGTGGAGGCTAAGAAAATTAGATAGTGCAGTAAATAGACCCCATGTTTGTTTCTTCCAAAACAAAGAGGTATCAGTGGGCCTGTTCATTATTTTGGGTTATAATTTGCTACTGATACTTAAGAAAAAATACATATTTGAATTTCAGCCCCATTAACTTATGTGTGTGCTCACAAGACTGTGTGCATTTGTATGATAACATTTGTAATACTGTCAGATAATATTACATATTTAAAAAAAAAACAAACGTTGTCTGAAAGGAATTATTAACTTCAGAATAAAGCACATCTTTCTGGCTTCCACTCCTGTTTTTCCCCTGATAGTTATGTTGAATAATATATGATTTTTCATTACAAACTGTGCAGTAGGGATTACAAGATACACCACACATCTAAGTTAACGTGACTGCCGGAACCTTAACTATTATATTCCCTTTTGCATTTTACTTCTTACTTTTAATTGAGCAACATTTAATGTTACATTAAAATTGATTAGTGCAGGTCTTAATCTTTATCTTGTAAGTATTCAGACTTAATGAATCAATTTTTTGTTATTTTATTGATACATAAAGTGTCCATGGATAGGTCAATTGAACAATGCCCTTGTGATTAAAAGAAATGGAGATCACATTTAAGAAGTTAGCTTCCTAAGTACAAACTTCTATGTATCTGGATTCATGCAGTTCAATATTGATTAATCTTTCAGCTATATTCCATTATGTATATGCACAGTTTTACTTTTTTATATATATATATATACACACATAAAGGTGTATGTATTTCATAACATGTACATACTCATGTGAATGAAATCATGTATGTAAGTAAATTCATGAGTCCGAATACTGATCGACAGGCAGTCTTTCTGTCTGGTTATTGACAACCCAGTTAAACCAGTTATAGCTGTTACATACTGAGTTTATAAGCTTAAAGAAGGCTATGTTTAAAGGAAAAAATATTTACACAGTGATGTAATCACAAATGGCCAAAACTTGTTAGATCAAAACTTGATCTGATGTTTCTTGTGAACAGATTATACAGGAAAAGATGATCCTGCTGACGAAGATGCTCTGAGGGCTGGAGCACCTCTTCTATGAAAACAGGCTGAAAGAGTTGCGCTTGTTCAGCCTGGAGAAGAGAAGGCTCTGGGGAGACCTTAGGGCAGCCTTCCAGTACCTAAAGGGGGCCTACAGGAAATCTGGAGAGGGACTTTTTATAAGGACATGTAGTGATAGGACAAGAAAAACTGACAAAGGGTAGAATTAGGTTAGATATTAGGAAGACATTCTTTACTATGAGGGTGGTGAAGCACTGGAGCAGGTTGACCAGAGAAGCTATGAATGCCCCATCCCTGGAAGTGTTCGAGGCCAGATTGGATGGTGCTTTGAGCAACCTGGTCTAATGGAAGGGGGTTGGAACTAGATGATCTTTAAGGTCCTTTCCAACCCAAACCATTCCATGATTCTGTGATTCTATGGAAAAGAGCTAAAAACTGTAGAAAAAAAAAACCTTCAAAGCTGTTACTACTTTTATGCTTTCAAGTGCTTGAACTTCACAACTAAACTCAGTCTCTTTAAACAGAAGTTTTCGTAATAATGTTTCTAAGATTCAAAAGATGAAGAAAAAAATGAAAAAAACCTTCTGCTTTACTTAGTGAGCATTTCCCCTCATTATTCATTATCACAAGGTTTGGGCTCTGTGTTTCCGTCATTGCAGCATGTCCTAGCCTTGCACATACAACACAAAAAAATAGTGAGTTTAAACTCCCCTGAGTTTATTTAAAATATGGAAATTTTGTCATAATTATGGGGAGACACATCTTGGTTGACTGTTTTGACTCAGGCAATAAACAGTAACAAAGTAGTCCACAGGGAGAGGTTTGGAATAAAATTCTTAGGAAAGTTTGTTTTGGAAACACTGACACATGTGGTTCCTAAAACACTATATGCTTCCTGGAACCAGGGTGCTCATGTCTGAAGACTGGCATTCTTCTTGCTTATATCACAGTAGAAGAACAATCATTTCAGTCTCCACGTAAGGGGTTTCTGACACCATAACCACATTTCCATGTGCCTTTCTGTGGATCAGACATCCCAGAGTTCTTGGGAACTTGCATCTCTCATGAAGTTTGGTCTGCACTGACAGGGAAATTCCAGGGTTACAACATCTGGGAATCTTTTCCATGCCCCCAAAGGCACAGCATGTTCAAAAGATTACTCTAGGTCATTTTACCTGGCCTGATCCTGCCTTGGGACACCTGCATGCTCAGGCATCTGGAAGCCAAGGCTCCTCTGCAGTTCTGTATGGGAGTCTTGCCAGTTTTGGAGATCTTACCACCTATAATGCAATGCAATCACTTCAGAGATTTGATACCTACCAGCTTCAGTGTCAGTGCCCTCATTAACACCATGGATAGATTTGGCCAAATACCAGAGATTTCAGTGCTTATTATATAACATGACAATTCTGATGACCTGAAAGGAAGGGTTATTACATGTGATAGTGCCCTCAGAGTACTCTAAGAACCTATGAAATCATTACTTGTGCATTCAGGTTCCCCTGTCATCAATGTGTCTGTATCATTTCACATGTGAAATAACACATTAAGATGTTATTAGTGGATATGACAATCTATCTTACTTTCCTCTGGGGACTAGATAATGGCTTACGGATACATTAATCCTTTTGATTTTGGCATCTGTTATAACATGATGGATGTGTGGCATACAACAATGTTTTTTGCTTGCTGAGATGTTGTGAATAAAAAGAGAAATAAACCCACATAGAATGTGTCCATTTTGAGAGTTCATCTCCAGCCTGGCCATGTTTTTTTTCTCTGGGCAGTGGTGGGTTTGGGCATTAATAATTTCAGAGATGCTAAAACTTCTGGCAGGTAAGGGAACAGATGGGAATGCACTAATTCTGAGACAGCGATCAGGCAACAACATATCTTGTAGACTATCTAACACTGTGTCTATGATGGCATACAAATCACTTGACAGATGCATTATTTGGTAAAGGTGCTGCGTCCCAATGCTCCTCCCATTGCTAAAAACTAATATACCATTTTTAAAGACCAAAATTAGGTCAAAGTTCTGTTGATTTTTATGTCATGTCGTGCAGAGACCTGCCAAGCTCCTGGATATATTTTTTTCTCTCCATTCTACTCCATGCTACTTTTGTTGACATTGTTGACATGTTGACATGGTTTAGCGGGGGACTTGGCAGTCGTGGCATAATGGTTGGACTTGATGATCTTAAAAGTCTTTTCCAACCTAGCTGATTCTATGATTTCAGGCTTCTTGTTATATGAGTTCAGTATGCATTGAATTTCTTTGTACACTGGAATACTGTGTAACAAAAAGCAAGTAAGGGACTGGTAACTAAAAGTCTTCACATTAAGCTATGTTACTTGCTTTGCAGGTGGATTTTGATGGTAAGCCTGACTCCTTGTTCTTCAGCGATGGGCAGCGAAGAATTGACTTTGTTTTGGTGTATGAAGATGAAAGTAAAAAAATGACTCATAAGAGGAGTGATCGTAAAAAGCAAAAGGTAGTTATTTTCTGTATAAATTTGAATAATTTGTTGGGTGTTAGAGCAGAAAGGACAGCGTCCTCATCCAGAATTGTGATTGCATTGCCATGTCCTCAGAGTACACTTGAGAGCTGGGAGACTGAAGCCCATCAAACTGAGCAGAGAACAGGGGTGAGCTCAAGCCAGTAGGTTGCTGTGTAAACTGGCAGAGCACTGCGCGTTGTGAGTGCTATGTGACCTCAGAGCATCCTCCTGGGAGAGAACCCTTCAGGAGATGTGAGCAGCAAAATGTTGTTATCAGGTTCCTAGTTAGAATTGGACACCAAGATATTCAGTCTAGGGCAACTTTCTGTACACACAGTTATTGAATTATACCCCTAATCAACTTTGGTATTAAAATCAGGGTATTCAGAGGAACCCACAGAAGGAGGCAGCTGACCAAATCCTCCAGGTCACAATTATGAACATAGCTGCTGACATTCTGCCAGTAAAGTAGCTAAGTTATTTATGGGAAATAATTGTACGCCAATTTGCCACCAGTATTTCTCCCTGTACCCCTCCTTCCCTTGAAACTGCAACAGTTTGCCCTTCCTAGGAACCTTGCAAAAGATTTCTGACTCAAGCCAGTGACTACTTGGTGCTCCTTAGCAACCATGAACAACAATCATAGATTATTTTTAACTATCATTTTTTAATTACTTCAGTGGTTCTACTAATGGACTACATTCATTATGTCACGAGGGCCCCAAAAGCAAGCTCAGCCATGCCACTGAGCTGTTTTAATTTTGAACTGCCTGAGAAATATCCATCCATGGGATTGTAGTCCCCTTGGCATCTGCACTGTCCCATCTACCTGCTTTCTTCTCTGATATAGCAACTCTCAATGTGCAGCAGCGTCCTCTGGTAGAGGCAGTGAAACAATGGTATCACTGAAAGCAATTCATATGCAAATAGTCATTTGCAGTTCGGAAAGAGAAGAGTAGGAGTAAAAAGGCCTGTAGCTAAGTTGGTTGATATTCATTACACAATGTTGTCATTGGCAATAACAGGGCAGCCATAAGGAATGTTATTAGTAGGGTTTAAGAGAGCCCTGCAGTGATTGGATGTTGCATTTTCCCTGATCACAAGATCAGCAATAAAAAATAATTGAAAGAGGTAATTAGAAACAAAAAGCTGCCCCTTTGGAAACAATTGGTTTTATCAATTAGCATTTGACATTTATGTTTGTAATATTTGGCCATTGCCCAAATGTACTTAAAAATATAATGAGTGACTTTTCCAAGCAGTGATGGAAATTAAATGTGAGCAATGGAGTAGTATTTTTAGTGCAGCATTAATGTTAGGACATTAACCAGAATGAAACCATGAATAACTACACCTGGAGATTGTAGGTAATGCACTAGATGCTTGCACAAAACCCCAGTTTGCTTCCAAAGGTCTCAATCCTACAAAGATCTGCAGCCACACTGATTGTGTGGTGTGCTGAGGAAGCAGTGTACCTACATGCTGCAATGTGAGAATGAGAGTATATGTGAGAACAAGAGTGCGTTAGACTAATGATGGGATAAGGAAAGACTGAGTGGCTGGGGAGCAGCTCTGTGAAGGAGGCCGTCATCGTCTTTATGGACATAAAGTGGCCAACAAAAGCTGTATGGACATAAGTACAGCCAGGAGATTGAGACACATGATTAGGGTGATGTGGAAGTCAGAAGGAAGCTGAAAACAGTGGTGATAGCAGTTCTTACAGCCAGAATTTCCACGAACAGGGAGAATCTGAGGTTATAGGAGTACTGTGGAAGGCATATGCAAGAATTTCAATACTGGGAATGCATACAGTGCTGAAAGGGGCTGAAGAGAGGATTTTGTTCAAGGAGTCTGTCACATAAGCTGAAATGAGTCACATGGTTGTAACCAAACTCCTGTGATTCAACTCAGAAGTACTGGCTGCCTCTCTCTGATGTCTCATATACAAGTGTCGTCAGTTTAGAATTGCATTTCTTCAATCTATTGTTGGAGGAACAGGCTTTTAGAATGTGAATAGATGTAAGCTTTCTAACTTTTTAGGGTGGGATAGGTGCAGGTCAGCTCCAAGCACAAACCTTTAGTCATCTCAAAGACAGAGAGGTCCTTCATCTCACTTGGTATCACTTGCTGTGCAAGTGAAGAAGCTGTATGTGCTGCAGATCTTCACTCCCTAAGCAAATGCTGTACAGACACTGGCAGCACTGATAATATTTTTCTTCCTGTATGTCCTCCTTAGTGGGATGCAGGACATTGTTTTGGGACCTACCTCATACCCACACTAGTAGTGAAAGGAGAGAAACTGAGAAGTACCAAAGAGATAAATGTGAATAGAATTTTTGAAAAGAAGAAACAGAACACGTATACCTTATGTCTGAGATGGAAAGGAAGAGGACATTTACGGTACAGTTTTGCATACTTGTTGTTTATTTGGTTGTATTTTTTTCTGGGACAAATGACTTCTACCCTGGTAACCAAATACAACCAAAATGAGGAGTATTGCCATTTACTATCAGCTTTAAATTCTGAATATATAGCTGTCTGTCTCTGATCAATGATGAACTGAAAATGCCAAATTTTATAAGCAGTATCTTATGTAATAGGTGCTTTAAGCCTAAACCGGTTCTTTGCTCGTGCCGTTCTTTCTTTGACTTCCCTGTCAGTTTTATAGAGCTATTATTCAGAGCTTTATGGTTCACAGAGTTTGGAAACTCCAGCTTATTAATAATAGTAGATCTAGATCTATCCTCACAGGGTGAAATCCTTACCTCATTGAGGTCAGCAGCAAGGTCTCCACTGGCCATGTGCAACATTGCAGGTCTGTGAAATGTAGGGACCAGCAGTGTAATCACTGGGACAAATTCTTTCTGGTGCACACTGCACCCCACCTGGTTGCATGACATGAAGTTCAGGACAGAACTTGAATTGTTAGTGGACAACTACAGATCCACATTTCTGGTGTGAAAAGCTCTGCTTGCTGCAATGGGTGGTTCTGTGTGATACTGAGAGTGGAAGAGTTCCCAGATGCTTACTGAATTCAGTCAGAAGGGTTTGAAAATCAGACCTCAACCAAGGTATCCGATGTACTGGATTCAGAGAAACAGGGCACAGATGCATCTGTTCTTCTGCAGCAAGAGAAGAATCAGGTCCTGGGACCATCATTACATTTAATTTGAATGGCTTTCAAAAGAATTGCATGAGTGTAACTGTGAAAATGACCCAGCATTAATTTATATTAGCAGTATTCTTGGGAAAACATCTCAGAGTATAGACGGAAATAAATAAGAGCATGGGAGTGATTTGAATAAAAGGATAAAAAATATGGAATTCTGAAGCTTTTATAGATGCACAGTGGTGCTGTGCTTCCCTCTTTTTCATGTTTCCTAAATGTTTTAAAGGAGGCAAAATCAAACTAAAGAAATGGCACCCTCATGGAAGTTTCTAATATAATTTACAGGTCCAAAGTTAGCAGATAAGGTTCACGTATACAACTTAGTTTGAACTCCAAGCCTTTTTAAGTTGGTATACGATTAATTCTGCAAGCACTAGCAAAAATCGAACTGTCATAAGCATATTTCAGAAACTGCATTGCAAGCAATTAAAATTCCTGCTCAGTGCATGGGTTTTAAACCTACAATTTATGTACCCTATTTGTCAGGGTAGGTTACCATCAGAATAGAAATTAAATATCACCAGTCTTCCCAGGAATGCTCCAAAATGACAGTTTTATCTGTTGGAGTCCGCAAGGAGCTCATTGTTGAGAGTTAAAGGGTCAGCACCAGAAAGGTGAATTCAAAATAAAAATATGCAGAATGTCATTCTAGTCCATCTGCTTCCCCCCAACAGAAACAATCAGAAAGACCATCAGTAATTTAAGTAGGAATGTGGGCAAAACCTTCATTTCCAGCCATGAAGTAGTTGGTGCTTCACAGAAATAGATAGATTTTAATTTTTGTTTCAAATTAAATGAAAACTATAATTCACAGAAAATATGACACACTTTTTTCTTTTTTTAAGTACTGTTTTACAAAGAAATTCTACAGGGATAGAGAAGTTTGTCTTCATAAGCAAACAGTGAACATTTCCTGCTTCTAGACCTGTTTAGTTTAGATAACCAACAAAAAAAAAAGCTTGGATAACTTTTCAAAACCTAATTGTACTTTTCCCACTGTTTAGCATGTGTCATACCTGCAGTGAGAGAACAATACTTGGATTTACAGAGAAGGGTACCTCGGTGCCATTTTGTGTGGTGATTTGAGGCAGTAGAGGATGGCAGGCTCTATGTGCCTGTGGTATGCTCAGTCAACCTACCCGGGAAGTCTGATAACAAAGAAGAAAAGGGACCTTTAGCACTGGGTGGAGGGCAACCACACCTGCCCTTGTGTCTACTGGACAGATTGGTTTTGAAGCAGGAACTGACTGAAATAAAATCTCTGTTCTTGAGGCAACCCCAAATCCAAATTTTACTTCTTTGCCTACTGGATGAAAGGAAGAATGACAGAAGGATGAGAAGACAAATGGAAGGACGGAGTTACTCTGAAGTTACTGCATACATTTATAGGACTTTCCAAACAGGATAACTAGAAGCCACTGTAGAGAGCAGGGCTAGACTGCAGTATTGCCAGTTCTGTGTGGTCATGAATCAGGTTTCAGAAAATCACAAGGCTGCTTAAAATCAGAGTGTATCTCAGAAAAATATGTATTTTGAGTTCTTTGAGTTTACTTTTTTGGTATCTGCTTCACATTTTTGTTATCTTCAAACATAAGAAGCTTACAGAAACAGAGCTTCTCAATGAGTTATTTCCTGATGCCAACAGCTGGGACTTTCAGGAGAGCTTCCACAGACCATCAAAGAAACCATGAGAGTTGGTAGCTAATATTAATACCATCCTCTCCACTCCCTTTAGTGGATATTCATGGGGGAGGCTTTGGGCACCATGCTCTTTCTCTTACTGACTGTGATTTATCTATCGCCTGTCAGGTAAGGCAGAGGTGGATGTTCAAGCACTCCTTCCTTGTTAGGAGTTTTCCTCAGAAGTCACACAGTCATTGTAGGGAACTTTTCTCTTTGCACAAAAGAAACTAAACAAAGATATAAGCTGGCGTTCTGCCACTGTAATCAAAGCAAGTGCTCCCTAGCATTTAAGAAACACGGAGAAAAGAACTGCTAGTGGTCTGCTACCAGTTTCCAGATTGACAGTTTTGTTAGTCTCCTCAGGTTGGGAAGACACCAGGCATTGAAAGCACTATGGTGAAAAAGCAGCTCGCAACAAGTAACCCTCCTATATGCCTGTAATACTTGGAATTGACTTACGCTGTGCTTTCATTTCCGTAAGATTGTATATGATTATGCATCCTGTAGTGTCTTTGTCTACTGGCTAGCCATTCAGTCATCAAAATCTGTCAGGTTTAGATCAGCAGCATTACCATGATCACATTATCATTATAGCTTAACCTTGCTGGTAGCTGAGCAAAATGCCAGATACTGAAAAAAGTTGGGACAGTCTCTACCTTCCAGCCTAATAAGCTATCATATCCTTATGCTGTATTCCCCAGTCAATGTAAAACCATTATAGACTCCTCTGGGTAAAAGTCTAGCTCCTCCATAGATCATCATACGCATAATTCAATCATTTATATAAAATAGCAAAGCCCCTAATTAGCAAAGCCTCCCAGGGGCTTTGTTCCCCACTACTTGCATTAATGCATTATTAGAAACCTTAATATTGTCAACATTCCTCTAAGATTTTGAGGACAAAATTAATTTGGGCAACTCCTTGCCATAATAAATTATTAAGGCAACCTGAATTGTAAGATTTAAAAAAAACCAGTATTAGACTTCTGCTAATGAGAACTGCCCTGCTTTGTGTGTTTAAGAAGAAACGAAACAGATACTTAGCCCTCTGCCTTTTATATTTGCTGAAACAAAGGAGAACTTAGGTTGAAATATTTTCATGATTCAGTATTATTCACCTTACAAAAAAATCATGTGAATGTGGAAGAAGCGAAGAGGTAAGATGAAAAAGCAGGAGAGTTAATAGTGGAGTAAACAAACAATTCCTGTCTTGTGTACTACATATATTTATGATCTCGTAAGGGGATTAAGTTATGATATAAAAAAAATTGCAGAGGAAATCAGTACATAGTTTATTCAGAAGCTAACACAACTGTGAACCTTTAGCTTTGAAGAAGAATGGAGAGCACTATTACATACAAAATCTGAAGAATTAAAGGAAATTTGTTTCTGCAAGGAAAAAACTCATAAACATTTGGGATTATAAATTAGTGCTGTTAGTACAAGGAAGAGACTTAGATGTCACACGAAACAGCTGTATTAAGTATCCTCTTCAAAGTTTGCCTTCCATTAGGATTCTAGACAGTAGAAAATATTAGGTATATATAATATATTATAAATATGCATATTACACATACATATACATATACAATGTTATATACACAATGAAAAAATATAAAAATCATGATACCAGTAGCAAGTGGATTTATGGGTCGTGGAGAGATACCTCCATGAAGATCCCAGTCAAAGTCTGGGATTGTGTTTTTATCCTGACAAATAGAGGAATAAGGAGAAATACAGTAAGTATTGATGAAAGAAGAAAACAGATTGGAAGATTTGGCTTTTCCTGTCCCTAACTTGAGAAGAAGGTGATATTCACTGGAACAAAAAGGCAGAAAAACTGAAACAGATTTTAAAAGTACCTTTTTACAAAATATGAAATTAGTCCCTTGTGACCATTGCCACATGCAGGTGCTGGAGTTGAGAACTAACAAAGTATAGAAGGGGTAGGCTGTTTATATTATTATTCAGTTTTATGACTATTAATTCCAAGGCTTGCTAAAGTTTTTGGAAAAATAGTTTTTTCTGCACTGGGGACTTGCAGCAGTATTTGGACATTAAAGAAATGGATGAAACTTATGTGGAGATACAACTGCCCTGTTCCTGTGGAACTCCTGAAGATCTTTGCCCTTTTTGCTGAAGCATCACCCCACCTAGCGTGAGTGGATCTTGGATTTAGGCCTGAAGGTCAGTTTCTGTGTACGTACCAAAGTTCCTAAGACTTTATCTAAACAGTCCTGCATCTTAAGCACGGATCTTAAGGCAGTCAGTCTGGCTATAAAGAACCAGGTGACAGAAAACATTGGATCATTCTCCTTTTAAGTTCCTTTAGTGATAGGTACAGAATCCTTTAAGCACAGGGCATATAAACAACAAAAATATTGGTCTGTGGAATGAAAGCAACCTGTGAGTATGAAAGTAGTATCACCCAGTCACTCTGAGAACCTTGTTGCATGCCTAGCCTACCCTGGATCACACATCAAATCATCAGTCCCCAGTGTGTTGATATCATCTCCTTCTGGAAAGCTGCTCACAGAAGCCCCCTTTCTGGCCCAAGCTGCTTGCAGATTCCCCACCCCCCACCCCCCATGCTGATACTTTGACATGGGAGAGTTGGACACTCTTGACTTACTCAAACATCTCAGTGTGGAACTATTCAGTTGATGCAGATGGCTTTCGAATTTGATTACCTCACATGAAGTTTCACAAGTTCTTGTATATCCTTTATGGTGTTGTATATTTTGTATTTTGAGGGGAGAGGGACTGCTCGTCTGTGTGTTTTTTGTGGGACGCCGTGTGTGTGGAGAAGCAAATTCAAGATTGCCAAGATAGTTCAGATTTTTTTGTAACTCACTACCTGCCAAGTGCTCGTAATGGTGAAGTGAAATTAAGATGGTCCGTGAATTTCATCTTTAGTGAGGAAAACTTGCTATATCCTTCAGGGGACATTAAATGCTTGTAGAATAACTCTTCAAGTGCTACAGCTCTCGGCTACTTCCTTTGGGGATGCTTATTCATAGATTAAAATGTAGAGGGCTACTACAGTTTGAACCACTGTGTGAACTCATATGATTATTGTGAAAGAAGAATAAAGTTACAGGTTGCTGGGTCAAAAGTGGTATGGAAAGCTCTTGAGATGAAGACTTTCTAAAGGACAGATTAATGCAGGGAGGGAGGCTGCCATCAGAAGTTCAATTAGAGACTAAAAGTGGAGGAGATCACAAGTTTCAGGGGTAATTGCCCTCAAAATTCAAAATCTGGGACACATTTTTACCTCTGTAATGTACCAGAAGGTAAGAGGGTGAATTCTCCATAGCTGCATTTGAGGACAATGTTGCATATGGGCAATGTTGCATATCAGAAAAAAAACTGAGCAGGATCAGTAGGTAAGACTGTACCTATCAGCAGAGTAGCTGTTAAGTGGTCTGTAGATATAATGACCCAATGATTTTTTTGGGGAAGCAATTCCATTCTTCTATGCATACATGTTTGTGAAATTTGGAACAGACGTTTTATGGTGTTCAATACTTTTTAACAGAGGAAGAGACAAGTATATGAATCAAACCTGATAAACAACGGCTTGCAACTTGAAGCAACAAGATCGGTGAGTGCTATTCTCTGTGAACAGCTGTGTCTGAGAGCAAAGCTGCCCCTATGGGAATAAGGAAACTGGATATATGAATTTACTGTAACATTTCTCTCGGGAGAAAAAAGCCCATCTTTTTCCATCAGTAGAGCCTCTGTGATCTGATGTGAAATCTTTTAAACTTTATGTCTGCTCCTTGCTCTGCAAAATAAAAGATGGGAAGCTGGGAGATTACATGGGAATCATGTCTGTTGGATGAGAGGTTGTGTTTGCTCAGCACTTGGGAGATAATTACTGGCTGTACTCTGAGGAGAGGTTCTCCCCCTGCTCTGGCTGTGTAGGACATGTGGGAAGCCAGTGGGTGTGTGGGGCAGAATGTCCCAGCCAGAAGAGCAGCACAAGGCCTGGCACATGACCTGCTCTTTGCAAGGCCTGGCACCATGCAAGTGATTGTAACTATCATGCTTTGTATATTTTTGGGCTGCAGTGTTGCCTGCAGGCAGTTTAAGAGTGCTGTGATAATTCACAGCAGCTGCTGGAGCTGCTGTCTCTTGCAGGAAGGGTTAGAGGCCCTCAGAGCCCCTTTCCTTCCTGCCCTGCAGGGCTGCAGTGCTCCATCTGGGTCTCCCCATCCCGGACAAGCATTTCCAGTCTAAATTTGTTGTTGTTTGGTAGTCTACAATGAGCTTCACAAAAGGTCACTTTGCCCCTTCCTCCCAAATTAGACTCAGAATCCATGGCGTCATGGTATTTATTTGGTTTCTGCAGTGAAGGTTCCTGCTGCACATCCAAGGATGCAGTCTTGCTCTTCACATTCATAAGTAAACTGCTTACTGGAAGCCTGACATGGCTATAGTTACATGTCGCTATATTTACATGTTGCAGTTTTCTGTAGTTCTGCCACGATCGTGACTGAAAAACTTTAGAAACTGGAAGTTTCCCCGGGCTAGATCAGATATCTGACAGATGTTCTGGAGCCAGTGAGTATGTAATGTAATTTCATGTGGCTGAGACTCAGTAATGCAGGGTGTCAATAGAAGTTCTACAGGCAATGTACAGACAGGAGACAAGTGGCTGTTAATGGTCCCGCTGCATACCGGTGCTGGTTTAGGTGTGCAACTGGGAGCAAAGTACTCCATGCAGTTGTTGTCAGCAGTCTTAGCTGATTTCCCTTTTCCTCTCCCCATTCTCACTATGTAGCTGGGAATTGGTGTTGCCCAGGAGCACCCATGGGTGCCTAGCCTGCTTCCATCAAGTCACATCACACTGGGGTTATACTTGAGCTGCTGGGGAAACAGTGGCAGGTCCAAAGCCACAGCTGCTGTGCCAGGCTACATGAACCCATATGAGGGAAGCATTGTTACTCTTAAATTGCTTTGTAAAATACTTTGCAGATATTTAAACAATAACATTAAAGGAACATTTAGCTGTCTTTTTTTTATATACCTTAATATGCCTCTATATGCTCGAGTGTTTCCACCTCATGTCAGTGCTTTTACAGAAGTTGATATATTTGCTAAGATGGACAGAGAATACAACATAGAGTAGGTCATCTGTGAGCTGTAAAAAGAAAGAAAATTCTGGGTAGTTTAAAAAGTGTTCTGAAAAGGCCTTTGCTTTCATTTTCTTGCACACATTTTTAATATTCTTTCATTCCAGGTTTTGGATGAAAAGCTTATTTTTGTAAAAGTGCATGCGCCTTGGGAAGTGCTGTGCACATATGCTGAGGTTCTGCACATAAAATTGCCTCTGCAACCCAACGACCTGAAAACCCGAGACTCAGCTTTCAACTGGTTTAGCAGACTCTTCAGAGTGGATGAAAATATCATCAAACCTGAGCAAGAGTTTTTCACTGCCCCTTTTCAAAAGGAGCTTTTGTCCAACTTTTATATCCAAGACAAAGACACATTTTTCAATCCTGCAACTAGAAGCCGAATTGTAAGTCCATGGAGTGTTTCTAGAATTTGATCTTAAAAAGAAAAAAATCCTTTAATCAAATCAGTGCAATTACCTTCATGAAAGTATCCTGAAAAGTTAGAAATATTTGGGATGCAATAGTCCTGTGTCATTCATGAATCAGCCTGGACAATCCAGAATGAAAACGTACTTTACATTTATTCCATTTCTGTTCCACCTGAATTTAAAGGAGTGGTTTGAATAGTTCATATCCCCTATGCAATTAATTTTGTCAGCACTGCTTGCCCTTTCCTAACCTGATTATCTGTGGAGACAGGTGATCACTTTCAAGTTGCAAGAGACACAAAAATATTTTATCAATTTCAGGTTCATTTTATCCTGTCCCGTGTGGAATATGCAACCAAAAACAATGTGAAAAAGTTTGGTATTAACAAATTACTGGACACTGGAATCTACAAAGCAGCATTTCCCCTTCATGACGTAAGTCCAGTGCTTGAAACTAAAATGTATTTTGAAATAGAGGTCTGAACTCTATCTGTGGGGTTTATATCAAAAAATGCAAGCACTGTTGATTGCCTTACTCCTTGACTGGTCGTTATATCCACATAGTAGAATAAGACAGAGTTTGGCGAAAGAGATTTTCTTTCAAAGCACTGTTGGTTAAAAATGTAGCTCCATAACTGAAAAAAAAATGTATTTAATTTAGGAGCTGTTAAACTTGTATTCTCTGGCAGATGTAGTTCAATAAAGTGCCTGGCCTGACTGATAGTTCCCATGACTCACAGTATCATCAGTTCTAAATCACTTTTAACATTGCCCCTTTTTTTAGAATTCAATTCTTCAGTATTAAAGTTCCTATCAAATACCAACATTGTTAATAAAGATGTAGACTACAAATCTCATCTTAGGATGTGTGGCAGTCTCACACAGCAAGAAACACTCCCACAGTGCCCAAACACTGCAAGATACATGCAGGAAGACTCAGGTTTCTGTAGGAAGTCTCTGTCCATCCAGTCCAACACCTCACAGGTGATGTCAGAGTCATGCAGAGAGAATCTTAACAGGGTTGGATTTCACCTGGCAATATTAAGAAATCCAGCTTTTGTAGCTAAACTTCCGACACTTTAAAAAAGTGTCATATTATATCATTTCAAGAAGAAAGTTATACTGAAAATTGTTCTGTGTACAAAGGCTAGCAATAGAACAGAAAAAGAAAATGAAGGAGAAAAAAAATCAGATTTCTGAATATTTGACTAAGGAAAAGCTCTGTGTGAGGCTGCAAATGGGATACAGCAAGCAAAGACTGAGGGCTGTTTTTCTGCATTTAGTTAATTATACATCCACATCCCCTACACCTCCTCCCCATGAAGGCCACGAGTTCAGTGTCTGAGGTGTGTTCTATTGAGAAGTCATTGAGAACATGGGAGATTGGGAATGGTAGCTGCTTCAGGTGTTTGGACTTGGCTTAAAATATTCAGGAGGCCCACAAGAATTTTGAGGCAATCTTTAAGGCAGAATCAAGACAAATCACGTTTCTTGTAAGTAACCTAAAGCTTTACAGGATAGAATTAGTACCATTCATGGCTATCCATTTTAAGGTTTCCTTTTAAAGATTTAAAACCTGCCTTGCAGGCTACTTCTATCATGGCATGGGGAATTTGGGCTCAGTATGACTAGTGATTATTGACTGTCTTTTTATACAGTTAAAATTATTTATCATGGCTCCTCTGAAAATCAAGACTAGATGATAGATTTCTACAAATGTCACTTGTCTTGTTGCATCAGAGATATAGAATGGAAAAATCCCTCAAATAAAACAGGCTTTATTGAAATAGATTTTCAAATAACCTAGTAAAAACCACAAGGATTATCTCCATGTGAACTCTCTTTTAAATTTAAAACAGAGACTAGAAGCTCTGGATTTATGCCTCAGACTTTCCACCCTTCATTCCAGTTCAGTATTATTTTGAAGTAAAGGATGTTAGCATGCTAAAGCTACTTAAAATCCATTTTAATTTAGTCCTGTTCTCTAATTAGAATGGATCCTTTTCTGTTTTCTGTTCCTAAGTGCCAAGGCACTGACATGTGCTTAGATTTAATTTAATGGTGAGTCTCTGTTATTTTCAGCTCACATACGTAAAGCATTAGCTTTAGCTTTTGGTGCCTTTCTGACCTTCTATGCTGAATTCTGGTACTCTCCCAGGGCTGCCTTCCTGCTCCTTTTCCCAGCTTGCAGTGAGACTGGACTAAAAGGCTAGTGCAGGCTCTGGCTTCCTGGCCAGACCCATAGGGTCTGCAGAGATGGGAGCTGATCTGTGCTGGTTAGATTAATGGTATCTTCTTCTCATGCTTTTTCTGGTTTTTTCAGTCTAGTTTTAGGCACCTGTCAACCGATCCCAACTGCCCAAGTGAACGGTATCTTCTCTACAGAGAATGGGCTCATCCCAAAAACATTTTCAAACTGCAGCCCCTGGATTTCATCAGGTTGGTGTGACTGAGGCTGGACTAATGCAGCAGGAACTAGGAATTTACTTAACAGGCCTGGTTTTGGGGACGTCAAAGAGACACTACCCAGTTCTGAGGGCAGATCCATACACCTGAATGAGCTTATGCACAGGAGCATACCTTGAACTTGGTTTCATGATAAGCCAGCTCCTGAAAAGGCAACCACTTAAATATTTTTTTTCGCAAGGTATGCTTTTTCTCTCTTTTTCCTTTTTTCCCCCTTTCCTATCCTCTTATAAAAGCATTAAAGTGGTGATAAAAATACGCAGATGCAATACTTCTGTAATCCCAAAGTTTAAACCTGAGGAATATGGCAATATGAGCTGGTACAAAATGCATGAAATGAAGAGCCATTTGAAACAGAAATGTAAATTTACTTGCATTTCAGAAAAAAAAAACACAAACCTTTCCCCTCCACAGGAAATACTATGGAGAGAAAATTGGAATCTACTTTGCTTGGCTGGGTTTTTACACTAACATGCTGATCATGGCTGCAATTGTAGGAGTCGGCTGTTTTCTGTATGGGTGCCTGACAAAGGACAACTGCACATGGAGGTACCTATCAGGATTATTTTAATATCCTGTGCAAATTTGACCAGTCACCTATAGAGGGGGACTGTGCAGGGTTTGCAAGGCACTGCAGAATAAAAGAGGCAAAATGAAAGGGCCTGAAAACAACAGTTCTGGATTTGAAAGCAAAGGCATAAAATACAGGAAGAGTAAGGGATATCCACAGACCATTAGAGTGATAGACATCAGAGAGTTTGTTATTTCCTCATTTTATTTATATTTTGCACTAGGTTCACCACACCTAGTGTAGAAACTCAAAGAAAAGAGTGAGAATCAGAAGCATAACATTATTTTCACTGTGATAATTCTGGAAACAGATATCCAAAGACCTTGATAAAATCCTCAAAATTTCTTTCCTCTGTTTTGAGAGAAGCATAGAGAAAAAGCAAGCACAGGGGGCTTCAGCTGCCCAGGATATACTGGGTGACGATGTATAGCCCTCATCAGAATATGACAAATTCAGCTGTGGCACAATGACCCTGGGGTCATCTTTGTGCCAAATTGCCTACAGACCATCACACTGTATACCCTCTTCTGGAAGGATGTTTATTTTTAGAAAACATGATGAAGTGATGTTCCAGAGCTCCACTCCTGTGGCCAATTTATACCCATTTAGCCTTATGCCAGTATTATCATTTAGCTAAATAGTTCATCTCCGTTTCTGGTGTTTAGTCTATTGATGTACTTATAGAAAGCAACTACATCACCTTTCAGCCTCCACTATACTAGGTTAGTACATACTAGTTAGATGGCAACTCTTTTCCTATTTCTTAAGAGACAGATTTGCGATTCCTTGAATCACCCTAGCAACCTCTTCTGCACATTTTCCAATCTGATCCTCTGTAGTAGACCGCAAGGACTAGGTAGCCATTTTGGTTCTGCAGCTATTCCATGCTCTGGTAGGCAGTGTTCTTTGCCTTCTGTCCTCGGACCTGCTATGGTAGCACGTGTGAGCATGCAAGCATGAGTTTCCCACTGAAGTGTGAGAGCTTTGAAGAGCAGTTTTAGTTTTGATAGGAGCAGTTTTGAGAATTGCTGCTATGTACAAGGGATGGAAATTATTTTCCTCCTATGTATGTCACCAATTTTTGAGATGCAGACTAAGAACGGAAATGGGGATGTATTGACTGGCTGGGGTGGGGAATTCTTGAGTGCAGATGACTGGTAAATTATTTCTCAATTCCCTGAGATTATTGCACTGTCGTTGTGTGCAAAAAAAGAACTAAAGTATTTAGTGTTGGCGAGTGACTGACTAGTTTTGTTTTTAGCCAAGAAGTATGTGATCCCAGCATAGGCGGTAAAATCATAATGTGCCCTCAGTGTGATAAAGTATGTACCTACTGGAACCTCACCATCACTTGTGAATCATCCAAGGTAACTACATTTACAGCTTATACACACTACTGAACTTTAGTTGCACTTTCTCTAGTACTGCATATAAAAAGAAGTTGTTCTTCCACTAACATCCTGCAGAATTGCTAGAACTGCGGAAGTAGTTGTTCCTTTTGATAGAATGACTGAACTTTGGAAAGTAAAAACAACAACATTAATTTCTCCAATCTGATCTAAGATGAAAAAAATTGTTGGGTTTGTTTTTTTTTTTATTTCACAAATATTTGATACATGACTGTAGTGGATTTTTAATTGAAACACTTCGGTTTCATTTGGAGATACTTCTTCATTTCGGTGGGGGGAGATTCAATTACTTCAGTCTCGATTTGGTAGCTGTGGATCAATTTTGATAAGGAAATGTTTAAAGTGTGTTTTGCCCCTTCCCTCCCCAAAGATGTTATCTGGATCCGTGCTTTGAATTTGACCTGTGTTATCAAGGAGGAGATGGGTACAAGAAGAGGCTGGTGTTGGCCATGACAGAAGGTGTGACACAGCCATGTCCTGTTAGCCATGGAGGAGGCTAACCTCACTAGAAGAACCTCACTTTCTTTCTTCATTACCTCATCTCACTAGGCTAATGTTAGTCTTTTGTTATTCCTTTCCATAGATTCAGTCACTCCCAAAGCTGCAATTTTTCAGCTATGTACCAAAAATACTTTGCCCAGCTTTAATGTGTTGCTTCAGAGCATTTAAAGGGTAAAAGAAATAAGAATACAGGGAAAAGGCTAAGATGGAAAGAAAAGGCAAATTGTGATCACAGAGGTATCTCGTCACAATGTGTTTTCACTAACCAGCTTGATTTGTTGTTATCCTGCTCATGAAAACCAGATGTGTCCATTGCCTTTTTGTGGATGTATTAAAAATGCATAACTCTATACTGAGTTCCCAGACCAGAAGCACTGTTTTTCCTCTTCCTGTGCAACAGATGGGATGAAGTTTGATAGCACACCATTTTACTATCCTCTTGCTGCATGTTTGGCTTATATTTTTTATTCTTGGCTTTGCATTTAATTTCCGTAATTTACTGTAGGTTAGTGTACACTGACAGAAACTGAGGAAACATGGTCAATAAAGACTGTTTATTAAGCTACATAAAAGCTAAAAATCAACATGTTCAGTAGGCAGTTTCTGTTCTGGGTCAGTATAGGAGAAAAAAAAAAAGGTCAAATATATTTTAAGCCTTTTTTCTTTTCCATTTTTCCAGAAACTCTGTATATTTGATAGCTTTGGAACACTGGTGTTTGCAGTATTTATGGGAATATGGGGTAAGTCGATTTCAACAACTGTGGTTTGTCATCTAATTTTGGCCAAGCCTCCAGCATCAGCCAAGAAAACATGGATAAATTTGCCACAACTTCGTTTGCTAGCATTCAGGAATTCATTAGTAGGTAGTTCTGTGTAGCAGAAGATACATACATTCACAGGAACTCTTTCTTAGCATCGTAAGAAAACAAAGAATTGTAGAACTTAAAGTTGGTCTTCAGTGTCTGGTTTGTTTCGTTTGACTAGGAGGAAAGTCCAGGAGAAATTATTAGAGCTGCCTCATGTTCGTGCAGCAGGAGCCAACCACATGCTTAAGTATATCTGGCAGAGGAGCTGTTATTTTTCTGAAGAGTTTTGGAGCTGCTTGTGCCTATTAACAGCTGTGAGACTGCAATTGGAAATAAGGCAATTGGAAAATAGTCATTTATTATATTTCCCAAGAAATTTTTCCTCCTGTCTTTATTTAAGAAACTGACTGTAAAAAGTGTAACTGGTGGTTACAGAGCACTAGATGTATCTTTTAGCAGAGAAAATATATCTGAAACCAGAATGTTTCCCATGGGTGAAACCATGTGGTGCTGTGTTCAAGGGATTAGGCAAGGTTCATTTTCCCAGAAACGGTTTCATTTGTTCATATTAGCAGCTTTGTTAACTGGCTTTTATTGCATTGTCTTATCCAGAAATTACCAAAATAAGTTCAGTGTTAGGTCTGTATACAGGATACTTTAAATAAAATAACTCATGTAACATTTTAAACTCATATGCATGCTGACAAGAATGCATCATTTACTTTCCACTACTAAGAAGGAGAAAAATAACTGTTACAGCCAAACCCAGGACAGCAAAACACATCGTATTCTTATTTTCCTATGACCCTAGAATCCTACAATAGTTTGGGTTGGAAGGGACCTTAGAGATCATCTAGTTCTAGCGCCCCCTAAAGTGCTTCAAGTAGTTACTGCTTTAAATAAACAATGAAACATACAATGTCTAAAAGAAGACTGCCTTAAAATACATGCTAAAATCAAAATGCCAGCAGGAAATTCTCTATGTAAAAGAAAATTAGAAGTCTAATAGTAATGTAATCTTCTTCTGTCGCCTAAATAGTTGATTTATTTGCAATTTGATTTTAATTACAATTGTGTTTCCTGTTTTGAAGAATGGTTCCAAGATTAGTAATTACAAAGTTAAGCTGCATGGTTTTAGTGATGGCTGCAAGATCTGTTAGTATTCTTGTCATAAGTCCACTATATAGAGAGGTGAATTCTGTTACAAATTCAGTCAGATTCAGAAATTCAGTCAAAATAGTATTGAATCCAACTGACCTAGGGTTGTGGTGCAATTCCAGCTGTAATTTTCACCTTCCTCTAATACTTGTGTAGACATTCTGGTTCAAAACAACTAAAATAATACTAGATTTTTAGATATTTTTTTTGCATCATCATCAATGCACTTTTAATAATTTCTTCTTTTTGAGTGTATTGCCTTCAAAGATCTTAAAGCACCATAAAACACCAGGGAATCTGGTCTCAGGCATTAGCCCTCTATACCTTTTTGCTCTGGACCAACACTTCTGCCACCTATCCCATGATGGTATGACTAGATTGGCAGCTTCCACTTCACTTGCTGCCGCCACTGATCGCATCTCTGAACAAGATCAGTTAAACAAACAAATGCTCTTCAGTGTATTTCTTTTCAGGCCTTGGTGACACATGCAGAATACCCGGGCTATACTGAATGGCAGTGGTGAGGGACATGTGAAAGGTGACACCACAAGTTACGAGCTGAGGTGGAATTAGTACTCAGATCTCCTGATTCTGAAATTGTATTTGTTTCCACTGTTAAAAAAAAACCCCACTGGTTCAGGATAAAAGAAAAATGTCAAATCCAGCAGCAGCTCCTTCTCTGCTGTGAAAGATACAACTTGGCTGCTGCTGATTTTAGCTCGTAGAATTTTTCTTTGTACTGGGGCTAAAGGCTGTCCCCATGTTATGTGGCCTTCTTCCACTGTTAGTAGAAAGGCTATCAGAGAAGGAAGCCCTGCACTTCTGGGGTCTTCAGCAGCAGCTGGATTTGCAACTGGAGCAAATCAGTATAACTTCCTGTGATTCGGGCTGGGCAACAGTTAGAGGTTTATGGGAAACTAATCTTCTTGCTCTACAAGATGTGATCTTCTGGCCCACTGCTTGGAATGGCCTTTATGCTTCTAAGTATGAAGTAGCTGAGAAGTCCTTGTGAAAGAGGCCCCTGAATAATCTGTGGAGGAGGGTTTGCTGGGGTTCTGCCTGTGTGTAGGTGCCAGGATCATCTCACAGCCCAACCCATGGAGTTTTCTGGTTTTTAAATTCTTCAATTTGGGGTTTTTTGACCATACCTGATTTTGGAAATAACCTTTAGTGTTTGGACTTGTAACTGCATGCCATTGACGTTTCATCATTCAGGATGAGGTCCAAACACCACTTTTTGAGGGTTAGTTACTCCCAGACAATGAGAAGTGCAGTAGCGGGACACTAACTCCTCCTGGAGGTAGTGCTGCAGAGCCACACCATTCATTTAATCTGAGGATGCACTGTTTTCAGTACCAACGCATCCTGGTGTACCAGAAAGCATGGTACTGACACCCATCATCGTGTGCACCTCCCAGCCTTCTCAGTGGGCCCCTCATTGCCTTTGCTGCCAGACCTACCACATAGTGTCTCGGGACAATGTGATAAGTTTGTCTGGATTCACATCTAGCCAGTAACACTTCGGCATCTGTGTACCTGGTCCCCCAGTGCTTCCAGTTGTAGGAGCACAGCCCAAGGAGACTGATGTCCCAGCGAGACAGTTTCTAAGCTCCATGTCTTGCAGTCCCTCAGATTGGTGCTAGCAGAGAAGGAAGGACATCTGTGTTTAAGCACCCTTACCTGAACCATCGTTGGTTCTTGTCGCCTGCAAACAGATAATTTGTCCACACAGATATTGCAGACTGAATGAACATAAGTTTTTCCCTGTGGCAATTTTTGGCATACCGAGTTTTTCTTTTCTAGATATCCTGCAATCTCCAGTGTTTTTTCTTCACCTATCCAACCAACTTGCTTTCATATGCATCCTGTGACAAACTTTATCAAAAGCAGTCTATAATACAAAATCCAAAGTTCCCGTACTCTAGGCCTAGGCAGAAAGCAAATAAATGTATATTCATCCTTTAGCATGTACTTAAAACACCGTTCACCTCATGTTTCTCTTATTAAAGTACATATATATCCAAAGCAGTAATTGCATAAAGGAGTAGTTCCAGTTATTTTCACCATTGCATTAGCCAATTAGCCATGGGGATTTATGCCACGTCTGTAGAAAGTTTTATGGAAAACCAAGCCAAATGTTACAGCACAGGGGGTGAAGCAGTGTCCAGTACTCACATGGCATTGTTCATTTTGTCTGTCTTCTGGATAGTTACTTTGTTTTTGGAATTTTGGAAGCGACGGCAGGCTGAACTGGAGTATGAATGGGACACAGTCGAGTACTTAGAGCAAGAAGAACAAGTTCGCCCAGAATATGAAGCTCGATGCACTCATGTAGTAATGAATGAAATCACACAGGTAAGAAATATTCTGATAAGTATTGATGGCTACTGCAACAGACATGTTGTGAGAGGACGCGATGAAAATGGTGACTCTGGACTGGAGCTATATAAACCAGCAGTGGCCTGGAAATAGTGAATTTATAAAGTACAGATGCATGGGAAGGAGTTTACACCTAATTGTAGGCATCTTATGGTAGCTGCCTGTTTGAGGAGCTTGCACTGCTGAGGTTCCTGTGTCACCAATAAACAGAAGCAGGCATCATCTCCAGCTTAGGAGACTAAGTCTACTTTATTAAATTCTCCAAGAAATGCCCCAGTGTCACTGCCAGAGGCCAAGATCGTAGAGCATTTGCTATCTTTGCCTAAGACTGCATTAGGAAAAAATGGTGAAATAGAGGGAAAGATGTTACGTTTCATATCACACCAATACTGTTTTTTTTAATCGAAGATGTTTCTCTTTGAAACATGTATAAATAGGTATTGTTGCTAAGTGCATGTGGATGCAATTACGATTAATAACAGCAAACTCACAGGGACAAGGCTAATCCTCATTTCAACGAAATAGGATTCATGTTTATGAGGATCTTAGTTTAGATCTTTATTTATTATACATTTTGAGTAGCTTTAGCTTTTGTAGCTCACCAGCTCAGCTTCACTTTTTGTTATGCTCTGTCAGTAGATCACTCTGGCATTTATCTGAGCATTTGCATTGCTTTCACATTCCATCCACATCGTACTAATATTTATTAGAGGCCACTTGTAAAGTTTCAAAATTAACTGCCATAGTTGAAACTATCCTAAATATATCTTCTTTTTATATCTTGTACTACAAAACCAAAAAAAAACCTGGTTCTGCTTAAAAGCTTATAAACCTTCAACGTATAAAGTCATAGTTGGAAAGTTCCTTTCAGACAGTTCAAAGAGTGAAGATTATATTAAAACATAATGATTTTGATCCTCAGAGATCCTATAAAGACTCGGTGAATTTTCACACCACTGTATTGAGGTAGATATTTCCTTGGGAAAACCACCCCATTGTTTCAATGGGATAATTTGAGAAATGCGGAGATGAGGGACCAAAATTTTAGTGTCTGCTAGTTTTAGCCAAGGAAGTTTGAAAGGTAGTGGCCTTTGATTCTGGATCAGCCAAGAAGGATGTGTCCATTCAAAAGGACTATGCGCCTTGTCATAGCTGAAGTCAGTAAGAGCTGAGGAAGCTCTTATGCTGGATGTCATGGATGACTGGAAGTCATTTTATCTTAGAATGGGCAGAAAAAAACAACAACCAAACAAGAAGACACCTGTAATCTGGCAAGACTTTTGAAATCATGAATAAACGTGAGTTTCCAGGATAACAAAGCAGGATAGGAATCAAAACCAGGGACTTCCTTCCCTTTTTCTGTCATTATTATACTAAAGGGTTGGATTGAAGCATTCAACAAAAAGATTTAAAAAAAAAGAAAAAAAGATTGTGTGCATCCTTCATCTGTTTCTAAACTTCTACAGCAAGAAGAACACGTGCCATACACTGCCTGTGGGAAGTGCATACGGATGACCTTCTGTACGAGTGCTGTCTTCTTCTGGGTAAAGTTCTTCTCTTTTAATTCACTTCTCTAGTAAGCATCTAAAAAGAAAGATCCTGAACTGAGCAAAAGGTGACAATGGAACAGATTCAGATGGATTTCCATCTGATGCATAAACCAAGCCCATAATGTATAGACCTGCATGAAGAAGGTAGCAGTAGTCACCGAATACTCATTAGCACACAGTCAATAGAAAATACATATCAAAATATCATGCAGCTGTAGCTTCTGAGTTATGCTTGTGAATGTGGCCCACTGGTTTTTCCCTCATTATTGTAAGACAAATGTCTTTGCTTTTGGCGGGGGAGTAGGGGAAAGACTGGTTTATATGATCTCCTCCTTGCCAGTTTCTATCTTGCTTGTTCCAGCCATTTGCTTCAATATCATGTCTCACAGTCCTGGACCTCTTTCAGGTTTTTTGTTTCACTTCACAGAGCAAATCTGGGTGTTCTCTAATATTCCAGAGCTCCTGCTTTAATTACAACTAAAACTTCAAAGTAGTCCAGTCACCCATGAAACAATATATAACATGGTGATCATGCCCAGAGAGGTCACTTTGAAAAACTCAGTGTTTTAGCATGCTTCATGTCCCCCTTGCCTGTAGCACAAACAGCATCTGGAAAAGATCTTGTCCTAGATGACAGGAGACAGATAAGAGATAGAGAGGTGGCTGGCAGCCAGGGGAACGCCAGTGTTAACACGTCTGGAACACAAAGAAAGGAATACTTTACTGTTGGATTTAAATAGGCAGGACCCCAGACTGAAGGAAAGAGATTTGGTCTGGGTTCATTATTTGTGTTACTGCACTCATTTATGTGCAGGGTAAAGGGAGGCAGGTGGATTCATGGCAGTTTGCAGAGATAGTGAAAAAAATATTCACAGCTCTATGGACCTCAATCTGAATAATAGCTGGAGAAGTAGCAAGAAATAAAAGCAGGAAGAGAAGAGAAAGAGAGAACATGGCAAGCAAGATTGTGCAGCTCACACGACTTGACTTAAAATTTGTATATTCCTTTGGAGGTTCTGTAGTCCATAACATTATCTGTGGAAGGAAGGTACAGCCCCCTCCATAATTAGTGCAGACTTGCTAGTACATTTGCCATCCTATGCCAATTGCCCAGTGTCAAAAGAGGGAAATTTCTTCCATCACATGCCTTGAGGCGTAAGATTTGATTACGCATCTCATTATCTTTGCTTGCATCAGTACAAAGCTTTTTATTAGACATACAACAGAGCATCTCTTTGCTGCATATTGACTATAGCGTGTTAAAAAAACACTCCTTCCATGGATTCTATATTTAGTGCTTTCTACCATATTTGATCATCCTCCGGCAATGGAATAACAGATGCATAGTTGGTTTTGCCTATTGTGAAAAGCAGTTTCAAACTCCTTTTTTCCTAAAGCAAATGGTTCAACATTCACATCTTTCTTGTGTTTCCTTGGCAGATTCTTTTGATTATTGCTTCAGTTATTGGAATCATTGTCTACAGGCTCTCAGTTTTCCTGGCATTTTCTGCAACGTTGTCACAGCACATTAGTGGAACAGAGGCGATCCGCAAGTACCTGACTCCACAGACAGCCACTTCAGTAACTGCTTCACTCATCAGCTTTATAGTCATTATGGTTCTCAACATCATCTATGAAAAAGTAGCAATCCTGATTACTGACTTTGGTATGCTACTCCTGTTCCTCAGATAGATAGAAATTTGGGGTAAAATAACAAGAAAAATAGCATTTATATGTATAATAAGAATTCAATAAATGAACACGTTTCAGGGTTTCCAATCCTGAAATCACACGATACCATCTAGAAATTTACAGATTTCCTCAATATCATAGGAATATGATAATGAGCTCTTTGCCTGAAAACTCCGTGTATAGGCAGCATGAAAGATCAATTGCTTACATTTTGTGCTTGTGAAACAGACAAAGCAAGGAAAATTACTATAATAACCAAGCTTTATGAAAACAGATCAGTAACGCATAACACATTCAATTATATTAGCTTTTGTTTATGGGGAAAATAACTATTTTCTTGTAAATAAATGAAATAAGGTCACTGTTCCAGAGCTAGATACCATTCCCATGTCATTAAATAGGTAAACAGTCACAAATATTATTATTCTTTATATCCAGGCCATCAACATTAAAGTAGCTATGTGGAGTAGTGCAGCATTTTAATATAGTTTCATTTAATACTGTTTCATCAGTTCAGAGTGTTACATTTGCATCTTTCGTGAGTGTGCTGGATTTGGGTGGGTTTTTTTCCCTGAGTTACCAGCATGCCTGCTTGTTCTTTTTCTCCACTGTCACAGAACAAGTTCTTTCGTTATAGCAACCCATATAGTTTTAGAATTAGTATAATGGTTACAGTATAGTTGGGGATTATGCATGGTCTAATTTATGATGCTCTCAGTCATATGAAGGAATTTAAGGCATACGCATCTCCAGCTGAGGCTGTAAAGCAGCTTGTAGGTTACTTGTAGGTTGGCTTTTGGTTTTACTTTATTTTATTTTTTTAAATTGCAGAGCTTCCAAGGACACAAACTGATTATGAAAACAGTCTGACCACAAAGATGTTCTTGTTTCAATTTGTCAACTACTATTCTTCATGCTTCTACATAGCCTTCTTTAAGGGCAAATTTGTAGGTCACCCTGGAAATCCAGTTTATTGGCTAGGAAAGTATCGCAATGAAGAGGTGAGAGTGTATGGTGGTGTTTTTTTTTAAACAACAGGAGCCATTAGTCCAGGTATTCTTCTGCAGTTAGGAGTGTATAACATACTTGTACATATTTAACATGAGGGTTCAAAAAGTTACTGCCTCCTAAGCCAATTGCCTCCTTATTTATTCCTAGCATAAAAGAATATGACACGAAACAAGTTGGGCTTAGAAAGGTATTGCGCGTACGCAGACAAACTCAATTTCCCATGGTCCAACAATCTGTGAACTGGCTCACGGGAAGGGGAGAACATTAGGAGAAGCATTTCTATTCTGCTGGGTGACCCTCACCTGGTGATAGCACAGTACAGAGCTGCATGGCTTCACATGGTATTTCAGTCCTTCACTAGTGACCAGCCAACCTGTCATATGTGACTGTTTGTGGACTGGAATTGGCTTTTGCATACCTTACTGGAAAGGTTTGCCTAAATAGTCTTCTTGTATTGTTTTAAGAAATGTTACCATAATAAACCAGGAATGCACTATTTTAAATGCTTCATTCATGCCTGAAAAGTTACCCAGCTTCAGAAATGTCTCATGTCTCTCTCAACCTTCAGTGTGATCCAGGAGGATGTCTCCTTGAACTCACAACTCAGCTTGCCATCATAGTAGGAGGTAAAGCAATCTGGAACAACATTCAAGAAGTGCTTCTCCCGTAAGTTCAAACTATTAAGTAATCTGCTCTGTCATGTTTGAAAGATAATCGTTTTGCTTGATGTGTTTAGGCATTTGGTCACTAAATTTGATAGGTGTATATTGTATTCTAAAAGAATAAGACTAGTCTTTTGGGGCCTTTTTAGACAGTCTGTGTATTTTTGGTCTGGTAGCTCTGAGCTCCTGTCTCTGTTGTTCTGACTAATCAAAAATGCTTCCTTTCTCTGCAAATCAGCCTCAATGTGTTTCAGGTTGGATATTTAAAACTGAGACAATAGAAGCTCTGAAAAGATTAAAGATTGTTGCTTAATGCTGAGTGGAATGATATGTTGTTATACATTGGGCTTTTAGAAGTCATGCATAAGTTACTAATTTAACTCGTTTAGTTTTGCAGTTATATTTGACAGTCTTAGTGCTTATATGCTCTCATTCAGTGAGTCAGGTCTCTGGAAGGTCAGGTTTTAATGTAAATAGTAAGCAAAGTGCTAACCACAAATGCCTTCACTTTAATTTAGGTTAAGATGCTATCCAGGACTAATTTCCTTCTCCTAGAACTTGTTCTTTATATTATGCTGATCAGTGGCTGTTATGTTGCTTGGAGTAGGGAACTCTCAGTTTGCTCACACCCTCCTGAATGCCATAAGCATCAGCCCACAGCGTTGTATTCCATCTGCCTGCGGTTCTTCCAAACCCACATGCTGTGCTCCTTTGCTGCATAGTGACCCCACTTCAAAGTGTGCCCTAAGTACTGTTAGGGTTGAGGCTAAGGTGCTTTGCTGAGATATGGTTCCTCCAGAACCCAATGCTCCATAAATGCCGCTGCTTGCAGGTTGGACCTATAGACCCATCCTTCTTTTCAACATCTTTTACCTAGGGAAGAGTCCCTAAGCTGAGCATGCTTGCAGATGTCAGCTCCTGCCACAGACAAGTGAATCTCCTTCTACGTACAGGAAGTAACTTTATCTGACCAGAAATGTTAATTCACTTCCTAGGGTGACAAGTAACATTTAGATGTTGAAATGCTGAGTATCACTTCTAGATCTGGTTCTTCTCATTCTGCATCTCTGCAAGTATAAAGAGAACCGTTTTGTTTTTTTCTGTTAATAGATGTTTGCTCCCACCTCACTTTTTTTGAATATGGTTATTTGTCTGCTGAAAATGGCTCCAGCCAATTTATCAGTTTTCTTAAATTCTCATACAAGCCTTTCATATGGGAAGATCAGACTCACCTCAATCCCTGGGAAGGTGAAGGAGCAGCTAATCCTGGAAACCATTTCCAGGCACATGAAGGACAAGAAAGTCATTAGTAGTCAGAAGTCATGGTTGACCAACCCGCTAACTTTCTATGATGAAATGGCTGGCTCACTAGATGAAGGAAGAGCAGTGGATATTCTCTACCCAGTCTTCAGTGAAGCTGTTGGCTCTTTCTTTCATAAAAGCCTTGTAGAGAAGCTACTGAAGTATGGGCTGCATGAGCAGACAGTGAGGTGGACTGAAGACTGGCTGAATGGACTGGCCAAGAAGGTGACCATCAGTGGCATGAAGTCTAGTTAGAGGCTAGTCATTAGAGATGTACCCCACCAATCACTACTGTGTCCTGTTCTGTTTAACATCTTCTTTAATGATCTGGATGAGGGTACAGAGTGCACTCTCAGCAAGTTTGCTGATGACATAAAACTGTTAAGTCAGAGGGTTGTGATACCACCCAGCAGAACCTTCACAGTCTGGAGAAATGGGCTGACAAGAACCTCATAAAATTCAGCAGGGGAAGTACAAAGTCCTGCACCTGGGGAAGAGCAACCCAATGCTGGGGACCAACCAGCTGGAAAGCAGCTCAGCAGAAAAGAGACTGGGGGTCCTGGTGAACACCAAGTTGAATACGAGCCAGCAATGTGTCTTTATGGAAAAGGAGGTTTATAGTATCTTCAGCTGCATTAGGAGGAATATTGCCAGCAGGTTGAGGGAGGTGATCTTTCCCCTGTACTCAGCACTGGGGAACCCACACCTGCGGTGATGGGCTCAATTCTGGGTCCCGCAGTACAGGAGAGACATGAACACAGTGAAGAAAGTCCAGCAAAGGGACACATGGATGAATAAGGGACTGGAGCACCTCTGAGTAGAGGCTGAGAGAGCTGGGACTGTTCAGCCTGGAGAAGAGGAGGCTCAGGGGGATCTCATCAGTGTGCACAGATACCTGAAAAGTGAAAGTAAAGAAGGGGACAGACTAATCTCAGTTACCAATGCCCAGTGAAAGAACCAAAAGCAATGGGCACAAACTGAAACACAGGAAGTTCCCTCTGAACATTAGAAAACACCTTTTAACTGTGAGGGGACTGAGCACTGCCACAGCTTGGCCATGGAGGTTGTGGAGTCTCCATCACTGGTGATATTGAAAAGGCATCTCAACACTGTCCTGGGCAATCAGCTCTGGGTGGCCCTGCCTGTGCAAAGAGGGGTTGGACCAGATGACCTCCAGAGGACCCTTCCAACCTCAACCATTCTGTGATTCTGTGGATTTTGTGATCAGAAGGAATTCATCTATCTAACCTCAGGCCCACATTTAACTTGATTTTTTGTTACCTTGAATTTTATGTGGTCATTCGCCTGTATGATGTAAGCATAAGCCACAATGATTCTGATATATTGCCCTTTTACACTTATTCATGGTTGTAAATAATTGCTTTCAGGATAAGGCAATGGAAGATTATATTCATGTTTGAAGGGCTTTCAGTAATTCAAGAATATAACTAAATCCACTGTTCAAAGCTATAACAGCACAAATGTCAATTTTTTCCATTTACTGAACTTTTTTAGGTTATTTTACCAATGTTAGTGGTCTTTTTTTCCCTGTCTGATAGTTGGGTTAAGAATCTAATCGGAAGATACTGTGCAGCTGCTAGATCAGAAAAAGTCATTCCACGCTGGGAACACGACTACCACCTGCAACCCATTGGAAAACTTGGACTGTTTTACGAGTATCTTGAAATGGGTAAGCAGCAGTTTGGTTCAGATTCACTACCACTGCTGGGCACAAACATACTTCAAAGAGAATCTTCATACAATCAATAAGTGCACAGACAGAGGAAACATGGATGTTTTCCGAGACAAGTTTTGGTGAGCCATTACAGGTAGTTTTTCAAGTTTTTATTAGACAGCTAAGCCTTAACCCAATTTACAATAAGGAGACAGCATGTGATTGTACAAGGAGGTGTACTGCTGCTTCTTTGCCCCATCCTCTGAGAAATACATCCAGAAGGCAGACCATTGCCATGTTTGTGTGTTGTATGCAGAGCTGTGTGTCAGACTGCTCTGCCCAGAGTCTTCAGCCACCAGGACTTGTTGCTGGTCTCTTGGGAGCTGGCAGATCTCTGGTTTGTTGCCACCATCTCTTCTGTCACAGCACTGCCAGTGTATTTGTCACAGAACCTGGACACCAATAAAATGATTGTTAGTTCAGACTTTCCAGCACAGCACTGAGACGGTCATTTCCAGGTCTTTGTGATGAAGATATAAGAGAGAAATGGATGTTTAAATACCCAGAATAGTTCCTCTTGATGTGTTGTGACTTGTAACGTTTTCCTGTCCCCTTCACCTAGCAGGCTTTTCAGTGTCATTGTGCTCTTACATTGTCATAGAGAAGATTCAGTAGGAACCAAGCTACTCTTTATTCTCTCTCTCTCACCCACATCTGTACATGCTCATAACATGCTTTTATCTCCAGTAAGTGAAAGCCTCATTGATGTATGTAACCTCTCCCTTTGACAGTTATACAGTTTGGCTTTGTCACTCTGTTTGTGGCATCGTTCCCACTGGCTCCTCTTCTGGCCCTTATTAACAATATGTTGGAAATCCGGTTGGATGCATGGAAGCTGACAACCCAGTTCAGGCGCATGGTTCCACAGAAGGCACAAGACATCGGAGCCTGGCAGCCTATCATGCAAGGCATAGCCATTCTGGCAGTGGTCACCAACGTAAGTACAGTGCCAACAACTGCACAAGGTAAAATGCCTTCACTGTAGGTGTTACATCCAAATGTGGGAATGCCACATGTGGCAATGCAGCTCTTAAATGATCCTAAATGAATTATGAGCATCAGTCCCTTAAGGCTTCAGCCCTTGTGAAATAGTTACTTTCCAGATGTTTTGGAAACAAAATGTGGATACTGTCTAAAATAATGTATCTAAAGAAAAGAAATTTTATTTAGAGTTGCTAATGTCTTCAGAAAAATCTGTTACATATGAAGGCTATAGCCGTTCTTCCCTGAAATTATAGTGCATAGGACAAAGATCTTTTTGGACAGTCTACAGCTGAATGCATGAGTTTTGGGAAAAAAAACCCCACCAAGTTATAGTTTAGTTAAGTTATAATTGATTGTTGTTTCTAATTGTTACAATTTTTATGGTCAATGCCTTCATATTTGAATTTGGCTTTAAGCAATTTTGCACTTAAAACAGAAATTCAGCTTCTTTCTTGTATACTTAAAAATACAATGTTTGCTCAAAATTGCAGCACTAAACTTTTGAGGTCAGAATCATGAGAATTTGAAAATTAATGTTTTTATGTTGCATTTAAAATTAGTTTTAAAAGTTTCTTTAAAATATTTAGAAATTCTTTTTTCTGTCTAACAATGAAATTCAGACCTTTCACATTTCCCATACCTTGAATTTACCAAGAACTTATACATAGGCTGCATTGTGGAGAGAAAAGTAATCAATAGGATTTTACCACTGTGCATTATTTGATTGTTTATTCATAAGCAGTAGCTAATACATACTGTCTTTCAAAAGGTTCTCACTGCTGGCCTTTCTGAAAGAGCAGTGACCACTGGTTACCCCTGCAGGGACAGTAACACCACAGAATCATAGAATCACAGAATAGTTAGGGTTGGAAAGGACCTTAAGATCATCTAGGTCCAACCCCCCTGCCATGAGCAGGGACACCACACACTAAACTATGTCACCCAAGTCTCTGTCCAGCCTGGCCTTGAACACCTCCAGGGTTGTCAATGGTTAATATCTCTTTTCAACAAGATCAGCATTTTCTACTGTTAACAGTGAGATTAGGGATTCCTTCTGACACACGTAGATTGTCACTTCCTGCAGGACCTCATCCTTGCAGTAACAGTACCGTACTGCAGTCAATAGGAGTTTTTGGAGAAAGCAGTTGTGTCTGAAGACAAGAGTTCATCTTATCCCAAGCTTTCACAGGAAGCTCAGCCTGTTTGGAGAATGGTGGTGTTTGGGTAAGACAGAGCTGACCACTCTACTGTAGATATTAACTCAATAGTTAGGGGACTTATTTCAAGTAAAAGAGCAATTCAAACTTCAGTAAGGACATGAACTTATATTCCTGTATCCAAGGCACCTTCTATGGTCATTAGGTGCTTGGCTAGTCTGGTGTCTCAACCCAAGGGGTTCTGCTTTGCGGAAGTCATATAGGGATAGGTATCTGCGCCTTTTCCCACACCCAGGTGAGCGTCCCTGTATATCTCTCTCACTTCCCCTTCCCCTCATGCTTTAAGAAGTCTTTGTTTCGCCCCTGGAAAGATGAGGCTATTTTTGAAGAATGGATAGATGAGCTTCATGACCTGACTGTCTATTGCGTTATCATCTTCTTAGTAGTTTGTTTTCATTATTTTGGGGGCTGGGGGTGGTACCGTATAGAAACAGGAATCTAGGGTGGATGTCAGTGATTAGAAAAATAGCATGTGTCAACTTCAGTTACCAGATGTATTTTCAGGCATTTGAAGGTCTCCCAAAATGGCCATTATTCGTATACAGAACTTTATTTTGCCCTATAGCAATTCAACAGGTATAGCAAACATAGCTAGGATGTAGAGAGGAGACTCAGGAGGGTATGAAGGCAGAGAATTAAGCACAGAGAAATGTCAGAAGAAAAAACAGAACTTGAGGATGAAAAATTTACAAGAGAATCTGGGAGACAGACAACAACCTCGAGCATATGCTCCATCAGTTTCACACTGCTCTGCTGAGACAAGTCAAACATAAATCCGGCTGTTCCATAGGCATGTGAACATCCAGTGCCTGGTAGTAAACCTGGTGTTAAAATTATATAAAATAATTTTTTAAAGTTGCAACTTTGGTAACACATGTTCAGATCATTACAAATGTCAGGTGGCACCAGAGATATTCTGGGGCTTTTTTGGTTTACTGCTTGTGCAAAAAAATTGTTAATGATAACTCTCCTAGCAAATGATGCAAATCCCAGCAGATAATGCTTTGCTTCACAGGATTTGCTTCACAGACGAAACACAGCTTCATCTCGCATAGCTAGAAGTATAGGCAACATTACTGGTGCACCAATAACCTATTTTGAACTATGCTGCTAGAAAACATACAAAATAAAAGGCAAAAAAGTTCCTGGTGCCCTGGAAGAAAAACAAATATGTTGTGCTATTGCATAACCTAACTGTCTTTCCTAGTCAATCCAGCTGGATGTTGTAATACCACTATGAAATAAAAAGTTGCATATACTTCTCAAGATTACTTTAACATATTGTTATGAGTACCTTAGACATAGTCCTTATGATACTCAGGGTAAAGTGGCTTTGGTGACCTTACGGTGACTCAGACATATCTACACTCAGACATGCCTACACTTCTGTTAGGAATGTACTCATGCTGTGCTTTCTGCAGAAGAATGACCCAGCAATAGGTGTGTATCACTACCCAGTCATGGCCCGTCTGAGGCTAATCTGAGCTTTGCAACATTTTTCACTCCAAATTCCTCCTTGCATGCTGCACCCTCAAGGCATCACTAAAACATGTAGTCCTCGATGTGCAAGTTTTACAGCTGGGGTTTACTGTCTGTCCTCCTTGACAGGCACTCAGCCCCAATGTTCACATGACTCTTAACTGCAGGCATGTTTCTTTCAAAGTCACCCTTTCTGGAGGTGTCACATGTTAGGTACAGTTAGTGTCAGTATGAACGCAGTGCATGTGCCACTGGCATCGGCAGGGCTGTTGGCATGCAAGGGGCACAACACCAGTGACTGTCACGTTCAAAAGGCCCTCCTGCAGGAATTGTGAGGACCTCAAAAAGATCACTTATTTCTTGCTACTGAAGAGTGGGCTATAAAGCAAATGCTAGAAGCAGTTTTCTTTTAAGTATGGTTTTTTTCTTGTTTGACATCTAGTATCTAGCATAGCTCATCAGCCTTTCCTTTACCATCCCTGCCTTGATTTTTCCTTCACAGAAACTATTTCCTCTTTTCTATGTGACTTGTTACAGCTGATTAGAATTCTGGTAGCATGACATTTTTCCCCCATACATTACCTTTCTAACACCCGCCAGTAACGTGCAAGCAACTTTTGCACACAACTCTCAGTTCTGAGGCTTGCTGCTCAGTCACTGGACTTGGTATTGCATGATACCAAAGCATCTGTTGTTGATTTGAAGACTGATTTTAGTTAGTTATGGTATAAATGGAAAACTGTGTGCAGTAATGCTTGGGAAGCAGAGAATGTGCTATTTGTTTGTAGTTCTCCAGTGCAATACTCTGAAATGCAGCCCATAATTCAGGAGGAAAAATTCTTTTCCTTTGAGAGGACGCTGTAGGATTAGCTTTCATATTTCTGTCCTTGCAGCTCTCTGGAGCACATCTGGAGATCATTCTGAGCAAGGGAGGAGAGTGAGACAGGGTTCAGATTTAGGATAATGAGAGACCCAGGACCCTGCAAAAAAATTCAGTAAGAGCAAATACTAAGTTGTGTAAATACCATATTTCAGCATCTTTCTAAATGATACAAAGCAGCAGCATCAAAATTCTTTGATCCAAAGAGAGGAGGGATTTTTTTGCCTTACTATTCATCTGCTACTAGTTCATTTATGGTCTGACTGGATGAACAGAAAGAAATTATGTTTAAATAAAATTTTCTATGCTTGTACTTCAGTTAAAAACGGAGTAATTTAGGTGTGAGGTTGTCTCCCTGCAACTGCAAGGCACAGTAATACATATTTCTTGTCAGCCAAAAACACCTACTAAGCATGTAAATATAAATAACACATAATTTTCACTTCATTTCACAGTGCCAACTACATTTGATTTAAGCCAGAGTACAGTACCAAAAACCCTCTTACCCTTGAAAACTTTAAATGAGTTTATTTTAGTCTTAGGACACCTCCCTTTTCTTTCTCATCAGCCAAATTAACTTCCTCTCAACTGAACTCAATTATAACAATATTCTGGAGAAACAAATATAGAGCTTGGACAGAATCACAGAATGCTTGGTTTTGGAATGGACCTCTGGAGATTATCTAGTCCACCCCCTGCCAAGGCAGGGCCACCTAGAGCAGGTTACACAGGATCGTGGCCAGGATGGTTTTGCATATCTCCAGAGAGGGAGACCCCACAACCTCCCTGGGCAGCCTGTTCCAGTGCTCTGCCACCCTCAATGTAAAGAAGAAGGTTCCAGGTTGTTCCTGTTGCATCTTATCCTGGACACCACTGAAAAGTGTCTGGCCCCACCTCACTGTCCACTCATCTAACCCACACTTTCTGACCACTTTGAAGACCATGGTCTCGAAAGTATTGTTTCTGCAACTTTTATCTTAACAAGAGTTTAGTTTCTCAGGTACTTCAAAGTAAGCTAACTCAGAAGGTAAGACACTAGGATAGCATTCATCACTTGGCAGTGATGCTGTCTGAGGTGGGATTGGGTCTTGCACCTTTTTCAACTCCCTGCCCTTTCCTTTCCCTTCCCTGTCTCTTCCTCTTGTTGCAGCCTCTTGTGTTGTGCTGGTACTAGCCCTTTGACAAACCAGCTGATGAACCAGTTCGGGGTATAGATCCAGCAAGGATTCCCAGCCAGATCAGTACCATGATTTGATCTGCTGCACAGCTGCAGGAACACGTAAGCCAGACAGGGCATGAGTGAACTGCTAGGGGCAGAGGCAGGAGGGAGTGTTGTTGGTTTAGCTAGCCATGCCACCAAAGAGTTGTTTGAGGAACTGTAGAAGAGGTGTCTGCACTTTTTTTTCCCCCTTTCTCCTCTCTCCCCTTCTCTTTTTCTACAACTATCACAAATACTTCCTCAGGTGGGGGCTGTCCTGCTGGGAATGCTGCACGAAGGTGGACAATTTTTGACCCATCTCGTGAAAATAAGGAAATAGAGAATGCATCAATCACTGACTGTCGGGAAGGGGAATAAAATACAGACATTAACCAGCTCTTGTGCTTCTATTATCACTTAACTTGTTCCCTTCCTCTGTCTCATGCCTGTCCTAAGGCTTTTTTTCTGCACCTTTTAGGCATCTCTGCCTAAACCTCCCTCTAAATTCCTGCTTCACACCTGTCTCCTTAATGTCTCTGCCCTGGTTCTTTCTATCCATGTTGTTAGGTGTTTTTTGACATTGCCATGGAACAAAAGGCTTCTCTTTCAACCCCACAGTGCAGCTTGACACTCCTCCCTAGGTGCTGGGCACCCAGATGTTGTTATGAGTTGGTTGGGCAGCCTCTTGCTAGGCACTCAGCTGCAGATCTTGCCAGTGGAAAGTCTTTCTCACAGGGAAACCTTTTGAATTTGCAGTAGCAGAGGAGAAGATTGGATTAAATATAGTTAACCTGTCCTAGGATGTTTTGGGAAGTTCATGAGTTTCGAAAGGACTTCCCACAGCAAGCCCACGGATCCAATTTCCTACCCAGTTTGTGACTAGCAGGCTGAGTAGGACAGGGACTCTTTTGGGAACAAGATAAAAACAAACGGTCACGTCATATGTAAAACAGCACTATGCAGCTGCTACTAAAAAAAATCAGCTTGGCATCAAAAGCACTTTCCACATGTACTGACATTGAAACTTAGGAGGCAACAACTGCCCAGATGAACTGGGCTGGCTAGTACCTCAGAAAGAGTGGGATATTACCAGGGTCAAAGATGGATGAGCTATATATATAATTTACTTAATTCCTTCACTCAGACCTCAAGGTTCCTGGTGAAATTGATTCTATATTACTGAAGGACTCTTCCTTTGTTTCCATGAGTTTCATCAGGCAGGATTTCTTTAAGCATCTCACAAGCACATCTGATAGCAAGCACGTTTGCTGGAGGTTACCTTAGAGTAGTTTAAGGTGAGTTCGGCTGCTGACCTGCACTGCATGCTCATGAGGAAAAAAGTGGATTGCAGTATAACTTTTTTAAGGCATCCAGCAGAGCTAGCATCATTTAAAAACTGTACAGAGTGCATGTTGCAGAAACAGTTTGTTTTATGCCCATGAGTGACTACATGCTCATTTACGGAGGGAACCACTAACTGGAAAAGTACGTATTTTCTATTAAGGCTTGTTTCTTAAACACTGCTCTGCTTTTTTGTCTTCTTTTTCTGAAATACAGGCTATGATCATTGCTTTTACGTCTGACATGATTCCTCGCCTGGTTTATTACTGGTCCTTTTCAGTCCCTCCTTATGGGAGTCACAGCAGTCACACTATGAAAGGGTATATAAACAGTACACTTTCTGTCTTCAATATATCAGACTTCAAGAATGCAAGCAAGCCATTTTCCCCATGGTTTGTAAACCAAACATGCAGGCAAGTGTCAAATAACAATTCTTTTCCAATTACAAAAATGAATATAATTTTTTAATACCTAAATCATCTAGTTCATCAATCATTCTTACTGAAGTTAACAATATCCAGCAAGAAATGTTAAAACACAGTAAAAGCCAACATATTTTGAATGGCAGAAGTGACTGAAAGCATTCACCTGTAGATTTATGCTACTCTGAAAATTCTCATAATTGATAGTCTAAAAAAACCACCAAAAAAAACAAAAACCACTTTAAAACTTTTTTAAGGAATTCTTAATATAGTAGGAAAAAATTGCATTTTAGCCAAATTTATCTAATTCTGCAGATAGGATTTTACCCATTGCTGTAGTTACTTGCAGCTGACTGTTCCTGGATGCATTAAGCAGGGACATGTCTTGCTCCATCCTCTGGCCACAGTGCCTTACTGCAGACATGCCTGAGAGTAGTTCCTGACATTCCTACATTGCTTACAGATACCGAGATCTCCGCTACCCTCCTGGTCACCAGCACCAGTATGAGCATAACATATATTATTGGCATGTCATTGCAGCCAAGCTGGCGTTCATCATTGTCATGGAGGTAAGTGTATGAGATTCTGAGCATTACTTACCTGAACTTCTCTCCATGCAGAAAATCTTTCAAAGACACTCTGGCCAGGCACGGCTATAAGAGTTGGTCATATGTGCTAACATGAGCAAGAGATTGGGAGATATAAATTAAGTGTAGCACCACCAGAAAAAGAGGCCTCTGAAATCATGAAATCAGCTGAGGATTGCCCCACATGTTTGCAGTTTCTTTTCCCAAGAACTGTTAAATTATTTTTAGCATCAGAAGTAGAAGGGACAGTTATACCAAAAATATTTTCACATACACTTAGAGAAGTTTGTGCACAGCATCATGAATGCATTTATGCAATACATATTCACTAGCAGTGTGAAACTTATAAAGATAGTCAGTGCAAGAGATAAGTCTCCAGATGAGCATCAAAAAGTAATTGCTTCTTCCTCTGGAGCTACAATCTGGGTATACAAAAGATGGGAGTCAGTCCGAGATGAAGGGAAAGAAATATTGGTTATTTGAGTATAAAATGTACTTAGGGCCTGATTTAGGGCCTGATTTAGGGACTACCGACATCATCAGAAACATGCAACTGGTTAGATCAGAGTTCCTGTGGCAGAGAAAAGTCCATTGCCCCAGAGTCATTTGAACAAGCCTAAAACAATTTTGAAAGATACTGTAAGCAGTGTTTCCAAGCAGGGGAGAAGCACTGGGTGGCAGGGTTCCCCCAAAGCAGACAGAGAAGTCCTTGTCAAAATCAGGTTTAGAAAATCAGAAATTCTTGTTTATCAGGCAATTATTCTATTCATTAGTCGTATCTGCTTTTTAAGACACTGTTCACTGTGATAGATACCGATACAGAACCAATTCAGAGTCTTAAGAGATAATGTCACGTTTTATTTATTATAATAATAATGTCTTGTTCAGCCTGACTGACTTATTTTCATTTTCACCTTCTCTAGCATGTCATATACTTTGTGAAGTTCATTATTTCATACTTAATTCCGGATGTATCACAAAAGACCAAGAGCAAGGTCAAACGAGAGAAGTACCTAACACAGAAACTCTTGCATGAAAATGATCTCAAAATTGTGAAGAAAAACATGGGGAAAATAGCCAACAAAATTATCCAAGGAGTAGACATCACTTTCTGACCTAAAGCTGAATAAGGACTTCTTTACATGGAATAACCATATTTAGCCAACTAATACCTGTCCAGATATTACCAATAGCTAACCAAACACTTTGGATTAATTCTCTTTACTAAGCATTGTTTCTTGCAGCTGTTACCTGTTCATTTACCTCTTGCCCTTGGACAAATGTAACCACTGCAACTCAGATAAGAGTTACCAATTTTTTAAACAGCTTTAGTAGGACATATTTTTTTAACATGTGAAGATAGAAATTATCTATCATCTCAAGACGATGAACATTAATTCTGAAATACATAGCATGCTTTCCATTTTAGGCAAGAGCTATTAGATCTCTTTTTTTGACTTGAATAAAACTGTAAGAATAAGAATGATTTGTTGTAAGAATAACATCTGAAGGAGTTGTGATTGCTTGCTAATGCAGACGCCAACTATGAAATGAAGAGAAAAAGCCAAAACATGAAGAAAAAAGAAGGAAAATACAACTCAAAATCATGTTGTTAAGCCATTGGAACTGACATACTACGCACTGTTGTGTGCTACACTGAATTAGCTATGCATACTGAGACTTAAATGGATAACAAGATATTTCAATTAATCATGGACTTGGATCACAAGAAGCAGCAGGACTGTGAGCCCATCCTGTTCATCAATCTCTCTGTAAACAGGAGAATTGCCTTTGAAATCAATGCACACAAACCGACTTTACAGCACTCCAAGTGAGTAGAAAACTCAGGCATTTTATCTTTCCCTAGTCAATGTACTTTCATTAGTTCATTTGCCCATTCTGCTCTCAATGACCACAGCCTTGAAGGTCTCCTACCTGTAACAGTAATGAGTGTTAAAAGTCTTTTCACGTAGTAAATCAATATTTGTGGAGGGCTGTCTTCTGCATTTCTCCCACGCCGTGCCTTTCCCTGAGATTTTGACACAGGAAGAATGTGCAGCTGGACTTGTTGTAATATAACATTGCATGATAAAGTGAATTCCGACAAGACCATGAATCTATTGAAACTCAAGATTGGAATAAACCATTTAATATGCCTTAACAACATTATGAAGCTGTAAATAACTAGGAAGGATGTTAGAGGTGTGGATGCAAGTGCTAGAGCCATCAGTCATCTTCAAATTAGGCTGCAGATCTGCTTGTCTATTTTGAGTCCAGTTGCAAACTGGGAGATAGGGAATTACATATGAAGCATGTACGTAGAGCTCCACTTTGTGTTTGCAGCAGTGATATTCCAGGTTATCACTTGCTTTATCTTTTAACAGCTTTAATGGACTAATTTCTGAATTCCTGAAAATCAAAGTCTTGTTAAAAAACCAAAACTATGCCTGTACTCTGTAAAGCAGGTGATTGCTGTTGCATTTGTAATTTTGTACTCTTCTTAAATATAGTAGATATGCAGGACTTTTAGTCAGATTATTCATATAGCTTTTTATATATTAAGAAGTTCATTTGCAGAAACTAAGTAGCATTTATAAGCATTTTTTATCCCATTAATAATGAGAAGGAATCATACATCTGAATTTTGTAGCAAAACTTCCAAATACTGACTGCTGTGTACCTCAAGCATATCCTTTGAATCACAGGGTCATTTGGGTTGGAAAAGAACTTTAAGATCATCAATTCCAACCGTTAACTAGCACTGCCAAGTTCACCACTAAACCATGTCCCTAACCACCACATCTACATGTCTTTTAAATGCCTCCAGGGATGGAGACTCCACCATTCCCCTGGGCAGCCTGTTCCAATGCTTGACAACCCTTTCAGTGAAGAAATTTTTCTAATATCCAATCTAAACCTCCCTTGGCGCAACTTCAGGCCATTTTTTCTCATCCTATCACTTGTTACTTGGAAGAAGAGACTGACACCCACCTGTCCTGGCTTCACCTCCTTTCAGGTATTTGTAGGTGAGGACAAGGTCTCCCCTGAGCATCCTTTTCTCCAGTCTGAAAAACCCCAGTTCATTCAGCTGCTCGTTGTAAGACTTTTGCTCTAGACCCTTCATCAGCTTCCTTGCTCTTCTTTGGACATACTCCAGCACCTCAATATCTCTCTTGTAGTGAGGGGCCCAGAACTGAACACAGGATTTGAGGTGCAGCCTCACCAGTGCCCAGTACAGGGGGAGAATCACTTCCCTAGTCCTGCTTCCCATGCTCTTTGTGATAAAAGCCAACATGTTATTGACTTTCTTGGCCAGCTGGGCACACTGCTGGCTCACGTTCAGCCGGCTGGCACACAACACACTCCCCACTGTCAACTGGATTTAACTCCATTCACCACCACTCTTTGGACGCAGCCGTCCAACCACTTTTTTACCCAGTGAAGAGTACACCCATCCAAGCCATGCGCAGCCAGTTTCTCCAGGAGAATGCTGTGGGAAATGGTGTCAAAGTCTTTACTGAAATCTAGGTAGACAACATTCACAGACTTTTCCTCATCCATTAAGTGGGTCACCTTGTCATAGAAGGAGCTCAGGTTAGTCAAGCAGGACCTGTCTTTCATAAACCAATGCTGATGGGCCTGATCACCTGGGTGTCCCGTACATGCTGTGTTATGGCACTCAAGATGATCTGCCCCCTTACCTCCACAGCACTGAGGTCAGGATGACAGGCCTGTAGTTCTCCATACTCTCTGTATGGCCCTCAGGACATCCTTGTCCTCCTGAGCAGTAAGCACCTCCTTCCAAAAGTTATAAATTCCTTTTTCTCCCCAGTTCCAGCCAAATCCCTGTTCAGCCAGGCCAGTCTTCATCCCTGACACCTCATCTCTCAGCACATGGCGATGGGCTGCTCCCGTGCCTTGAAGATTTCCTTCTTGAAGAATGTCCAGCCTTCCTGGACTCATTTGCCCTTCAGGACTGCCTCCCAAGGGACTCTGTCAGCCAGGCTTCTAAAGAGGCCAAGGTCTGCCCTCTGTAAGTCCGAGGTAGCAGTTCTGCTGAATCCCCTCCTTACTTCTCTGGCAACATTTAAACGTGAAGAGGTAGCGCATGAGGGCGTCCTTTCAGCAGTCATGATGCACAAGCTTTCACTCAGCAAGACTTTGCATGATTACATGGAAGAACGTGAGAGAAAAGTTTGGTTCAAAAATCAGGAAAGATGAAGCAAACTTACACAGGTTCCAGAGAACCACTTGTATTTCTGACGCTGAAGGACTGAAGCTTACTTATTAGAATGCCCAGAAAACTTTGTGTAGACACCACCTGAAGACAAAAAAAAAAAAAAGATGAAGAACAGAAAAACAAGATAGACACAATAAAGGGTGGTCAACCAGAGTAGCAATGGGACCAGTGCTTTTTTGCATAGGGGACTCTACCCTTTACAATTTGTTTTGATTTTGTCAGAAACATGACAAGTCTTTAATTTACCAGGAAGCAACTATAAATTGGGCAGATGGACAAACACTCAGAAGTTTGTAAACAAGACAGCATTTCTTATCAAAATACATCCTCTCAATACTGGTTTGACCTTTTCCCCGATCACAGGAGGTTGGAGTTGGAAGGGACCTCTGGAGGTCATCTGGTCCAACCTCCCTGCTCAAGCCGCGCCATGTAGAGCAGGCAGCCCAGATGTCCAGATGGCTTTTGAATATCTCCAAGGGTGAAAACTGTGTAGTGTCCCTGGACAACCTGCTCAATTCACCTCCACGGTGAAAAAGTGTTTATTGGTGTTCGGAGGGAACATCCTGTGTTTCAGTTTGTGCCCATTGCCTCTGGTCCTGTCACTGCACAGTATACCAAACTTCTGTTTAAAACAAATCTCTGTCAAAAAAAAAAACTGTTTCATACTACAATCTTAGTGAAGTACTCGGGGCTTCCCTGGGCAAACTTGACTTGAGCTTTGATTTTTATCTTTGAACTGGTCCTCCCCCATTTCCACTTGTGTTCAGCTGAGAGATGCCATCTTCAAATGCCCATCAGAGATCACAACCCCAGTGTGCCTTAAATACCTTTTCAGGTATTTGCTGGACCATGTAAGGAGGCATCCTGTGGTAAAGGGGGAAAAAATGCAGCACGAAATGGACCATTTCAAGTAGTTATTTAGTCTTAAGAAAGCATTAATTGCCCTCTTTGAGAGGTAAAGAGACTAGGAAGCAAATGCATTGAGTGCCTTGCCTGGGGTCACACTGTGAGTGGTGGCAGAGCTTAAGCCTGATTTTCAGGAACGCCTGGTCTTCTGCTCCTTGCTCCTGTGGCCTTTTTCATGTTCCCTTTTTTTTGGCAGCATTTCCTAATGGGAGGGTTAGCCCTCAGTGATTATATCGAGAGTTTATATTCCTGTCTTTAAAACAGGGATTAAAAAACATGCTATAACAGCAAAGTGTATATATCCATGACTTGGGCTCCTCCCATCATAAAATCCTAATCAGTTTTGGATGTGTTTCTACATTACCATCTTTGTTCAGAGCACAAGTGTGTTTTTGAAACTACTCTTCCACTTGTCCCACTTTCTGGGCAGTGTTTCCCATCACAGATTGGGCTCGAGGCACATGGACTGAATTGGTCTTGATTCAAATTAAACCAGAAGCCAGGTTGTAGATATGCACTTAGTGGTCTCTGACAGGTACTTAGTCTGGAGAGTTAAAACCAGGGCTAGGCTGAAGAGAGCGGTGAGTCCTGCATGGGCATCACCTAGTCAACATCAGCTTTTTTGCTCCAGTGATTCTGAAGCACCACGCTCCCTGCTAATGTAGCTGTAACATTTCATTTCAGAAGGCATTATATCAGGAATTCAGTTCAGTGTGCCATATGCACAGTGTTATTCACAGCGCAGTTCTGAATGAGAGAAGAAGAGGAAAACCAACAGAGTGCCTAATAATTGCATTTTAATAGTTTGATTTAAGCTGTGCAATTCCTGTAGCCTCTACCTCCAAATGCTGAAACGTGCTCTGCTTGTAGGCAGGGAGCCCTGCAGAGGCATCAGAACAAAATGCTGGGGCTGGTGGGGGGAGCAGTTGCCAATATATGAGTATTTTTAACCTTTTTTTTTTAGGCCAG